ATGTGTTGGAGTATGATCCAAATTCTTACTGGGATTTGGATTGGACTGTTTAATTGATAAAAGGGACAAGAGTCTTCTTGGTTTGGAAGTCTGACTGAAAAAGGGATCAAAGTTCATCAAAGATTAAAAGTTTGATTGGTAAAAGGGCTTTAAATAATTGAAAACTTGTCTTTGGGATGTTGGACAACAAACTAGAGCCCAGGCCTTGGTTCGGGGCTCTTAGGTGCCCATAACGGAAGAAACGGCAAAATTTGGCTCGAGACACAGCGTTATCCAGTTGGAGAATCCATTTTCGATTTTGATTTGTTTCTTGTATTATATTTCATCAAAAACACTTGTATTGAGTTCCTATATATACTCCATGTGATATAAATATCATCTTCATAAAATAGCAAAATATTGTATAGTATTGAGAGAATATCGAAGTGAGAGGATCTAGTTTATAGTGACTGAGAGAGACTCACGTATTTTGAGATAGATTGAGAGTCTTGTGAGATCCTTTTGTCCTTTCTTGCTATTTGATTATAGTGACTTGCTTTCTAACAAGTTGGGTGGCCTATTTTAACTTTAAAAAATTTCATTGATTTCTTTGAAGCCTGATTTAACTGAAAAACAATAAGAAACAAGATATAAGAAATTGCAAGTCATATTTTATTACTCCAAACAAACCTATCTTTATTTCCCTGTAGACACCAGTGACCACTGATTCCCCTTGTGTTGCAGTTTTATTGCTGTTTTTTCTTGTGCACGTCAATTATGCACGAGGAAATTAGAAAGCCAATGTTCCTTGCTAACTTTGAATCCACTTGGCTATATAGGGCATGGCTTGTAGGCCCAACACACATCGACCAAGCTTCCATGTTAACATGGTTGGATTGGAGAAGTCAACCCAGAAGTCGAATTCGAGTATGTATCCATGGGATTTGGATGCTGAGATGATGGATGAAGAGGAAGAATTTGAGCTGTGGCTTCAGCAAGCTCTAGCATCTGGACTTTTCTGTGAAACCTCCAAGCGTAGGAAAAGCTGGAGTCCGTTCAAGTTGCCTCAGAAAAAGGGCAAGACACATTGGCGAAGATTTTCGTAGAAGAAACAGCTCCTCCAGCGCAGCCACATCGATACTGAATATGAAGATTTCTGAGTAAACCACTTGCAGGTGAATTGGACTGGGACTCTATTAAAGATGAATAAGTGTCAATTGTATTGTCCATTCCTATCTAATACTTACATATCAAACATGTCCTTAAGGTGCCCACCCAACAATCTTGTTCAGAAGATGAGAATTTCAGGGTCGACTGGAAGACTTGTAAACAACTTGTTTTACGTTCTGTAAATAAATTTAGAATCTTGCATGGTTTCCTCTGCTGCAGATCAGTTTTGGCCTAAATCTTTCAGGTTTCGAAGATAAAATTAGAGAAAATTTAAACTGATGTTTGAGTACATTTGGTGACACATTGAAGCATTGTATTACCCCGGTACAATATAGTTGAAAAGAAAAATGAAATTTTTGGTCCCTCGTTGCTGTTGCTGCAGCGTTGTTTCCAGATACTCGTGGAGGAAATCGTGCAAGTTCTGCTGTTGTCAAAGCTTATAGTGTTGTAATCGACTTATCTGTAACTCTGTAATCCTGTAGCTAATCAATCTGCAGACTCTGAATGGATTTAATGACTTCATATAAGCAGATTTACTTTCAAAATTGTTTTTTTATTTTTTTGGTTCATATTTTTGTTTCATTGATAATCTTTCATTTTTTTTTTTGTGCGCTCCTGTTTGGCCCCCATTAAAATTTTAATACATTTTCATGACACTTCTTTTCAATAAAACGTTTTTTAAGAAAATAATATTACACGTAAATCAAATACTCTTCCTTCTTTTTTAATTATACATTCTCTTAAAAATTATTATTCTAAAATATATTATTTCAAAGAATCTTATAATGGGGGCAAAGAAGGGCTTTCTGGACCCTTGATTTCCTTTGAATTTTCAAGTTTTCCGTTCTTTGCTATTGTTAGACCATCACGTCAACCACTAAGAAAACTTTTATTTTTCCTACTCAGCGAAAAGATTAAAAAAATAAAAATTTCCATATTCGATCACATCATTTGACGGTCCTTCATATATTTCAAGATAAAGTATTATGGATTAGTAAATAAGTTAATTTTAAAATCGAATGAAAAAAAAAAAGGATTTGGGGCAATTTCTCTCTCTTCGGAAATAAATTTAGCTAAGCGTGCGGATATAATTTTGTAATTGAAGATGGAAAATAACTGTTTGAGCTAACAACGTCCACTTAAACGTCCTCTTTGAGCCACCTTTTTGTAGAATGAGAATGAAAAATATAATCGTTATTGAGGTCCACATAAGAGATAGAAAATTTGAATTTAAATGTTAATTTGATGGATAACGATCATAATTTTTTATTTTAATAGGATAAAAAAGTGATCCAGACGGGAAATAATAGTATCGGAATATTCGTACGTTGACCATCCAAATCTTTCTTTTCACATTTTCAAACAGTATCCTAAGAAAAAAAGAAATTTCACTTGAAAAGTCAAAAATATATAAAAAATGGATACTAACTCAGACACACCTGACCTGCCATTTCCCTTCTGGGTTCTGTCCAGTTCTCCCCGTTACTCGGCCCTTTTTCTTCTACTTTTCGCTTCCCTTTTCTTGGTTTTTAGCTAGAATTCTTGATCATGCTTTTAATCTGATCAATTAAATAGGATTTTTACAAGTTTTGGGGGAATGGGTGTTTGTTGTTCTTCGACCAATGGCAAGAAAAAGACAGTGTGGAAGAAAGAATATGGTACGGATTTAAAGATAAAGAAGGGTAGTTCTAGTGATTTTTCTACATTTATCAGCAAACTAGGTGGCGGCGCCGTGGCAGCGGCGGAGAAGGGGGCACTGCATAAAGTTCCCGGCAGGCTTTTTGCAAATGGGGCGAGCCGGATCGCTAGTTTGTACACTCAGCAAGGCAAGAAAGGTACAAATCAAGACGCCATGATTGTTTGGGAGGTCAGTCAAATTTAATATAGTTCATATGAATTTCTATTCGCAAAATAAGACATCAAGAACCTTAATTTTCTTATATTTTAATGTTAAATTTAGCTGCAGTTAACAAATATGGAAGTTATGCTTTTTGTGAATAGATAAATTAACTTCTTGCCTAGAACTATAGAGGTTTGTTCGCTATTATTTGTTTACCTTATTAAGGCCGGTACACATTGTTTTTTTCATTTTCATTCTTTTACTCATTTGACACGTTCTTCAATAAAATAGTATTTTCTATCACATCAATAATTTTTCAACCACACATTCTCCATCAATCTACTATTCAATAATACATTCTTTCAAAAGAATGTGTCCCAAACACACTCTAAGAACTGAAAAAATGATGGTATGCTCTTCTTTTCTATTTGGGTCAGTTTATGATTTGATTGAATTGTTTCTCCGGTAGAATTTCTGTACGAGAAGCGGTATGAGTACGACATTTTGTGGAGTTTTCGATGGTCATGGTCGTTATGGTCATATGGTCGCAAGGAAAGTTCGGGATGCTCTTCCGCTTTTGCTGCGCGCAGAGTGGGAAGCTATGCACGATAGCAATCAAACTTCTGATCAAGAGAATGGCAATGCCCTGGAAATGACTCATTTTGATGAGATTAAGGATGAAGACAGGGACGAGTTATTGGATGATGAGGAAAATGAAAAACTTCCGGAGATGCATATGCCAATCAAGAGATCACTTTTAAAGGCTTTCCAAATAATGGATAAGGAATTGAAGTTGCATCGTACCCTTGATTGTTTCTGTAGTGGTACAACTGCTGTCACTTTGATAATGCAGGTAATTCTTTGTTTAATTTTCGGTTTTTCTACATCGTTGGAGAATGAGAATGGTGTTTAGATATGTCCTTTCCTCTGCTCTCCTTTTGTTTATCTGATTATTTTGTGGGTGGAATTTGTACTTGCCTCCTCCTTTGACGTGCTATAGAACAATAGAGTCATATGTCCTTTTCAAGCATCGTGAAATCTGTGTGATTTTTGTCGAGTCAGTTCCATAGACTGTAAAGGCATTCATATTCTATAAATCGGGGTCTCGTATGAGTCTAAAACCTAAAATTTCGACACTCCAACAAGATGCAGAAAATTGACCATTTTGTTGTGCTATATAGTTGAACTTTCCAGGACTATATAGAACTACATATCTTAGTTTTGAACTACTTGTGGTCTCATTTTCACTTCTAAGGAGCTGTTGAACAAGACAATTAGCACCACAAAGAATATGTTTTCAAAAGTAAGTAAAGACTTAGAAAAAGTAGATCTTTGAACTGAAAATCTGAGGAAAAAAAGTTACTTCTGAAAAACCTCAAACCTGTTTCGCTAAGAAAAATTAGTTAAAACTAACTTTTAAGCTTAGCCAAACTGCATGTTCAAGACAGAAGAAAATTGTAAACGATGACCAATGTTTTCATCTCCCCATTCCTGCCACTCTCTTGGTCTTGTGTTGTCCCACAACCCTCACCACAACTATTATCACCCCACCATAGTGCAGATGTTCTTTAGGATTTGACTCGTCATAACACCTCACCTGTTAGATGGCGGGTTTTGGGGAATCTTGGGCATGCTACGAATCTTGACGGCAGCCATCTATGTAATTAATAATGGCAAACCCCTTACCTTGTCAAATTGATGCTTTTAATATCGGATGATGCCACTTCACCTGGATATTGTTGAGATATATGGTTAATCTAAGAAACATTAGTTTGTCACAGTAACACACCTTTGATTTCATTATATGTAATTTTAAAAACATTTTAAGTTATATCAATCTTTGATCATTTTTGTACTAAAAGAGGATATAAACCAATCAATATGGTATTAACTATCATGAACATGATTTTCCAGGATCAGGATCTCATAATTGGAAATGTTGGTGATTCAAGAGCAGTATTAGCAACGAGAGACAAGGATAACGTGTTGATGGCTGTACAGTTGACCGTGGACTTAAAACCTAATCTTCCAAGTATCTCTCTTTATGTTTTTCCTCTGTTTCCCTCACACACGCGTGTGGGTAAAAACACTATTAGTCACTCACACTTATAGCGAAGTTTCAAGTTAGACACCATTTTTTATATTCTTTCAAGTGATCACTGCAGTTTGCCTTTTGCTTCAATTGGGTCACTCATTGAAAATCCGTTAGTTTTCTGACGGTCTGATGAGGCATCAATATGGAGGTAAACTTTAATCACCATTTTTTTTTTAATGAGTGACCAAACTGAAGTAAAAGGTAAACTTTAATCATCAGATTAGAACAAAGTAAAGTTGGTGACTAACGTGAAACTTTGCTGTAAGTGGAGGGACTAACACTCTTTAACAGTTTTTTGTACGCCACGCTGGCAATATACATTGAAAATGCTGACAACAAGAAGAAATATAATGAAACATTTGACATTCTATTTTCATTAAGACATTCACATCCTGGCTTCCTAACCAACATAATAATAAAACAAAAAAAACATGAACTACACTTAGGTGGTGATAGAACCAAAAATCGTGACCTCCTTTTGTTTTTCAGGAGAAGCTGCTAGGATCCAGAAATGTAAAGGAAGGGTTTTTGCATTGCAAGATGAGCCGGAGGTTGCACGTGTATGGTTGCCTAACAATGATTCTCCTGGTTTAGCAATGGCCAGAGCCTTTGGGGACTTCTGTTTGAAAGACTTTGGTTTAATTTCTATGCCAGATGTTTATTATCACCGTATTACTGAAAGAGATGAGTTTGTTGTTCTCGCCACTGACGGGGTATTATTTTCTCATCTCTCGTTATCAATTGTTAATGTTGTTCTCCCTTCTCTTTCCATGTAGCTAGTTGATCTTTATTGCCTTGGCCTCGGAAGTTATTATAAAGGCTATTTATATTGACGTAGGTATGGGATGTCCTCTCCAATAAGGAAGCTGTGGACATTGTGGCATCGGCTCGTGGTCGTGGAACAGCTGCTCGAGCTCTTGTTAACTGTGCTACGAGAGCATGGAGGCTCAAGTACCCAACATCAAAGATGGATGACTGTGCTGTTGTATGTCTTTTCCTTGAACACACGTCACCAACTGATTCTGTTAATGCGCCAAACATTGCAACGAAATCCCCTGGACAGGAATCGAGTAAAGTCCTTGCAGAAGAGGAACCCAATATCTCAAATATTGATGAGGCTTTTCAAGATGCTCTTGTTGTACCTTCTAGAGAGATAGTGCCTGTTGTCGAGGAAGTCGAGGAGAAGCTACCAGAGAGATCTCTTGGTCAATCTGAGAGGAGTTTAGCTGAATTCCTTTCAACCGCAGAGGACGAGGAATGGTCGGCCCTTGAAGGTATTACCCGAGTTAATAGTCTGCTAAGCATTCCAAGGCTCTTGTCCTTGGACAAAAGATCAGCGAGTTGGAGAAAGTGGTTATGAAACAATAAATATATGGTATAATACTGATAACGAGTAAAGTGCTATCATTTTATCTTTTGCTGTATAATAAAGCCTTTACTTGGAGCGCAATGGACATACAGGACAGGATGATGAAGTAAACAGGTTGAATAATTGTCCATAGGTCTGGGAGTTTCGGCGTACCGATTATGAGCTTTTTTTAAAGGAATAAGATCACTCAAATGTGTACACTTTGGTTGAAACTTCTTATGTTTCAAAAATCTAACAATTGATTGAAAAATATATTTTTAAAATCGACGCTTCCAAATCTGCCAACACACAAGAGTGTAAATCAAAGTGTAAATATAACATGACTCTTTTTGAAGTATCGATTTGAGTGTGTGAACGGATTGATTTTGAGTGGTTTTAGTAGCAATTTTTAAAATTTGTCCAACCTATGCTTGGGCGTTTATTATCGATCGATTCTTGAAGTTTTTTAAAAGAATAAAATTACATATTTGTCTCTTAATAAAATTTTCGGTTTATAAGTTAGTTTTGAAGAAAATATTTTGGTTGAAAATAATTATTTTATAGAGGGTACAATTAGAAGAGATCATGAGAAACAATCAAAATCTGTCGATTTGGTGGGTTGGGAGAACCCGTCAAAATTCCATTACACATTTTTTTTTTGGGTGGTTTTGAAACCATCCAAAATTAGCGCCCAAGAAAACTAGCAAGCACCGATTTTTCCAACCCCTCATAAACGTATTATTGTACATAAGAGTGTACATAACCCTCACATGGGGTGTGGTCCACAAAAATGTGGGCTCCATCCCATGTGAGGGTTATGGACACCCTATGTACAATAATTATGTACACCAAGCAAAGTCCCCTTTTTTATAGGAATAAGATCACCCAAATGTGTACACTTTGGTTGACACTTCTTATGTTTCAAAAATCTAACAATTAATTGAAAATTATATTTTTAAAATCGACGCTTCCAAATCTGCCAACACACAAGAGTGTAAATCAAAGTGTAAATATAACATGACTCTTTTTAAAGTATCGATTTGAGTGTGTGAACAGATTGATTTTGAGTGGTTTTAGTAGCAATTTTTAAAATTTGTCCAACCTATGCTTGGGCGTTTATTATCGATCGATTCTTGAAGTTTTTCAAAAGAGTAAAATTACATATTTGTCTCTTAATAAAATTTTCGGCTTATAAGTTAGTTTTGAAGAAAATATTTTGGTTGAAAATAATTATTTTATAGAGGGTACAATTAGAAGAGATCATGAGAAACAATCAAAATCCGTCGATTTGGTAGGTTGGGAGAACCAGTCAAAATTCCATTACACATTTTTTTTGGGTGGTTTTGAAACCATCCAAAATTAGTGCTCAAGAAAACTAGCAAGCACCAATTTTTCCAACCCCTCATAAACAGTGCCACCGAAAATTGATTATGATTAAAAAAAAAACTCCAAAGCAGGCCATAAGAGTACGGTTTAATACCATGTATCAAACATATCTTCAAATTGCCGGTATGAATCTGATAGTATTAAAATTAGCAATTTGGAGTCGGTTGCAAGAAATAACTTAAATGTAGGTACATGTTTCGTACGTTAAAGTGGGCTGCGCTGCATTGGATAAGAAAATGAACAAATATAAAAAATTTTAATTTTGTTTCCTCTTAGTCTAATATATCAAATATGTTGGAGAGTACGAGGATGTTTTTGTTAATTTTCTTTAGATTGAAGTCTCGTGAGCAATCCATTTACCCACTGGATCAAGAAAAGTTGAAGTCGGGCCCTTTTGCAGGCCTACCCAATCCATCAAACTATTGGATCAAGAAAAATCGTATTGGGCCTCTGCATTACGAGTCCAAAATGGAATCCAACTGGAGAAACGAAAAAGGTTATTTTGCGAAGTGTGAAATTTACGCTTCTAGGTGAAAAAGGTAGTCGTCATTGACTGAAAACGACTTTAAATCTAAGCGTTTCTTTTAACACTAATTTCATTAGTCCGCTTTTGCCGTAATCTGCGCCTCACCTTTAATGTTCGTTCCCATTGTATTGATAAAGATGGGAGAATTAATGCCTTATTTTCGCTTTACCATTTTCTCCAATTATTCTCTTCTTTACATCGTTTATTACTAAACATATTATATTAGTAGTAAGTCGTTCCTTAACCTTTCGTTATAGATATATAATTAACTTACGATGATTAAAAATCGTTCAAATCCTGCTAAATTGTCTCGTGACATTCATGAGGCATGTCTTGTTTAAATTGAATTTAATTTCATAAATTAAATGTACTGTCACATGACAATTTAACATAAATTTTGTTTATTTTGTCAACAAAGATAGATTAAGAATCCGTTTGCTCATTTTTGAAGCGATTTTCTCTATGAAAAATGAGAGAAAAAAGAGAGGATCTTTTGTTAGAAAAGAAGGGAAAATGGGACACAAAATTTTTTGTTTTATATATATGTGCACACAAATTAGTCAAAATTTTGAAAGAGACGCGAATCACTTGGTTTTTTTTGTTTCCCTTGCTATAATTGGTCTAATTTGCATGACAAACCTAACAAGATCATTCAAGATGTTATGCACATTTTTTGTTAGAAAATAAAAAAAAAGAATTAGTTTGATTGTGTTGCTACGTAATCATATTAAGGGGATGTTTGACACAGTTTTTGATTAAAAATAAATAAAAGCTGATTTCGATAAAGAATCGATGAAATGTGTAGTTAAAATTTGTGAATCCCGTAAATGTGTCATTAAAATTATTAACTTTACATCAACTTTAGCGATTTTTAATCTTTCCTAAACAAACACTAAACTTGATTTAATAAAATAAAAAAAAATGCATAAAAATAGTTTAAGATAATTTAAATTAGGTTTGAAATCAAATGGTGTTTTATTTAATCCTAGATATTAGAATCTTCACATTTGGGCATTTTGGCATTCCATAATTGATGAAAAAGTGTTGTTCTTAAATTATTGGTTAGCTTGTCTTGTCGCATCATATCAAATTCGCACTTAAATCCATTTTGGGAATACGAAAAACTGTGTTTACGAGAACTTATTACCTTAAACAACATCTTATTCGCTGGACTACTGTAGTAGTATCGAGCTTTTGTCTGAGCTCGACAACTGACCATGCGAGAAAGATTTATATTTTGATTGTCTCGGTGACAATTAGTTTTGATTTAACTCCTCTCTTATGATAAAAGTTAGACATGATACAATCTTGTGGGGGTAGTCACATAATTACATAAATCAACTTGCTTACACAGATATAACAAAGTTAATTATTTTTATATAATAAAAACAAAATTATATAAGCATTTCGTGCACCATTCAAACACGACCAGCCTTAGACGTGAAGAGAAAGATTAGCCAGTCATATTATATATCCTACATGTTCCTTAGATTGCTCCATTGATTATTTTATTACATTAATTAATATTTGCTCAACCATTATCCGGTTTGTCCACATCATGGTTTTGATTGGTTCTTGACATTGAAGGAGACTTTCCTAGTACAATTAAAAACTTAGTCAGTACATTTTTTTCTTATTATTATTTCTTGGAAAATATCACGTAGAAATAAACAACACGCGAACATGGATATCAACCAATCGTAAAATAAAGTGATAAACACGTAATAACATAAACGGACATAATAAAAGTTAATGAAAAAAAGTTAAAATCTTATTTTGTACAAGATTTTGTGCCTTAAGAAAGATGGAACAAGCTGTAACGGAAACTAATTAGCCACCAATATTTAAGATTAACAATTCACAAATGAAAAATTGGACGCCACTTCTGAATTTCTCTGCTTTTTTGAGGCCCGAGTTAAGGCATATATGTCGAACGGATTCTCGTAGGGGTTTACACGTAGAGTCGGTAAACCGTGGAATTTCATGAATGCGGAGCCAACGAGTTCGGTCGAACATTCTGGGATCTCCACCCTAGCCTCTTCCCCAACCCTAACTTAGATCGGAAAGAGAGCATTTATTTTCTTTGAGTTTGTGCTGGTTGACTTATTAGTAGCAAGGTCGACATTTTTATGATGCGGGTCAATTAGTTTGATTTGGTTTGACAAAACGGTGTAGACTTTGGCAAACATTCACATATGCCCAATCTTCTTTACACTTCTATTGGATTAAACAAGAAATATGTAATTAATTGTCATACCGTCCACTTTAGTTAAGGGGCAAACTCCAAGCCCAAATTTTTTAAAGGGAAAAAAAGTTCTATGGAAATTTTATTTTCGATGTATCGGTCCCCTTGACTTCACCCGCACTCTAGATCGAATACGATATAAGAGCAACCATATAAATGAGAAAAAAGGAATTTTTGAAAGTTTTTTATTAGGTGGGAATGGAGGATGGTACACCTTTTACTGTTGGTGGGGCTTACTCGGTTAGGTATGCTTTCCAATTTGAAGATAGCATAGCGCTGTCAGGCAAGATATTCACCTTCTCATGCCAAAATTTGGTTTCTTCCTCTTTAACTATTATATGTTGCAATCATAAACCAATATTTTTCTTGAGATTCCTAAATTGGAATATAGCTTCAATTTCACATCTTCATTGCACTAAAACCAAAGGGGTTCGCGTGTTCAATTCAAATTTAGACAAGTAACGAATCGAGAAAATTACGAAGACTCAAATATTCTTGAAAACAACTATGCACCAATTGCAAATTCAACCATCTTTTTATTACATGTTCAAATTCATTTTTTTTTTATTTCACCTTCGTTGATTGAGTAGCTGGACAAAAAATAAAGGAACGTGATCAATCTCACCGGTGGAGAAAAAAGTGAAATTTGGCCCTCAAACACAGGGGTGGACAAATCCGACTGAACCAGTCAAAATCGTCGAAACCGGACCACCCGACCGGTTTGGATCGATTTTTTGTTGTTGTTAAGCAGGTTCTATTTTTTTGTTGGGTTGGATTGTGTTGGGTTATGAATTACCTCATGAAAATCGAATAAACTCATCAAACCCGACCCACATACTTCAAAAAAATAATAATAATAATAATAAAATGCACTTTGTTTTTGTAGGCTCAGCTAATGAGGATTGAATAAAATAATAGATAAATTTATTTATTTATTTACTATTTAATCTTATCTATTCGAATTTAGTATAATAGAAAATTGGATGACTTTAATATTTGTTGACAAGTTGTCACATACCGACTAACCTAACCTGACGATACTTGATTGGATTGTGTTTGATTGGGTTGGATTTCAACATTTACACGTGTTGGGTTGTGTTGGAAAATTTTTTGATCATACCGATTACATTGAGTTGGATTTGAGTTTAGACAATAATCGACCTAACCCAACCTAACTCGACCCAACCCAACTCATGCTCATCAATACTCAAACTCGAGCTCAAGAGAAGAGGATTCGAACTACAAACATACATCGGATGAAGTAAGACCACTGTAAGCATCTACTCGTTTTTTCTGAATAAATATAAATAGTGTTTAATGCACATTTTTTAGAAGAGAACGCATATGTTTTTTTGTGATGTGATGAGAAATATGTGGTTGAAAAATAAGGAAAAAATATTGATTTAATGAAAAATATTATTTTATTGAAAAATGTATGGTTGAAAATTAGTAGAAAAATGAGAATGTAATTCAAACAGTGGCAAAAAATGCTTAATTTTGTTAGTAATTGTTTTTTTTTTTTCTTCTTCTTCTTTGGGGGTAAAAAGAGTGTAGATAAATTAGTGCAAACCAAAAAAGTGAGGTGCAAATGGTTCCAAATAAATGAATAAAAATAGTTGTTTATTTTGTCATTTAGTGCACGAAATATGGACACCTAAACGGCTCAAAATGTGATTCTCTTTTGATTTGGTTATATGTTATGTGGGGGCACCAATTGGGACCATTTAATTAATAATATTTTACTTCTTCTTGGTGGCTCCGACGTCGTACTATGTACAACCGTCTAACTATATTGTCTTCTCTCTCTCCTACATTATTATTATTATTATTTAATTTGGAAAAGTTAATTATCTGTAAGGCAAAAAAGTTAAAATATTATTCGATAATGTTTAATTTTATTGAAGTATTAAAATTTTCAATTTACTACATTGTGATGTATGTTGACAATGTATAAATTTATGCCCATGTTTGAATTGGATAATTTTTTTTTTTAAATTATGATAAAATTTGATAAAATATGTGATTAAAAAATCGATAAAAATTATGGATACAATAAAATATGTGATTGAAAATGAATTTTAATTAATGTGGGCTATACATGAACTATGTTTTTGCTATTGAGATCTCCATGATCAAATTTGTTTGTAAACCGATATTTTTTTGTTTGGAACTAGACACGATGTTATCTTCTCGATCACACTAGTTGAAAGCTATGAAACAAAGTTTGAAACTCGAATCGACACAATATCGAGAAGTGATCGTCATTGCAATTTCAATTGGACTTCAATGCTACAATTATGAGCTATTGTAGGTTTTTTTTTTATTTGAAATTGGAAATATCATATGCGCTTATTATTTAATTGATATTTACGAGTGAGCGACATATTATGTTTGACTGTCAACATATTTGTATTTGACAAATTTTTGTTTATCTTTATTGTTGAAAATAAGAATTTGTGATATTTGTATTAATAACGAAAGTTAAATTCTTAAAGTAAATTCTCATAACTCTTTGTACACTTTGTTAAAGTAGTTTTACAAGCACGTCTTCTTGATTTTATCTCTTTATTTTTTGGAAAATACCGGATGTACCGAATGGGGGGTACCGAATGGGGGGTACCGAATGGTGTACTCCCCTCACAATGTGTGCGGGGCCCGTGGGTGTTTAAAAATGGCGGCTCGTGATCCCCACCTCCTAATGTGAGTGGGGTGTAAAAGATTATGTAAAAAAATTATGTACATATAGCATAACTTTTATTTTTTTGCCTATGTCGAGGGCAATAGCCAATAACTATTTCATTTAAAAGTTTATACATCTATATAGCAAAGACATTTATTTCTTTAAATCGGGCCTTCAACAAGTCTTCTTACGAGCAAGTTAATTAATTTCAATAAAAAACACAATACACACTTAATTTTATAAAATTTGAGTACAAGATTTGAGTACAATTCATTTTTATGCTTAATATTGTGTTGAATCATACTATTCAAATATTTAATTTGATAAAGAAAGAAAATATTTAGTTATTTAAATTGTGTCCTCAGTCGTATATAAATTTTACTACATATATTTTCTTTCATATCCATTTATCGAACGTGATCGAAAGATAACAGATAGACTTTACTACATATTCCGTGCATATAATCAAATAAGATAACGGTTTGGACATAAATTTTTTTCCCACACACACCTTATACCCCAGTTGTTTTTTAATTAAACACTAATTAAGTGTAAATGCTAAATTATAGCAAATTAAGCAAATTTAGTGGCTAAAAAAATCATATTCAGTTTCATGAGTGTACAGGTGTCACGTAGCTTTATCACAGGCAATCCTAACGTTTGCAAATCCTTATCCCCATCCTACGATAAATTGTTTGTACCTAAAAAACTAGATATTGAATTTCTTAAAGTAATTATTAATTTTCAATTTATGTCATCACCAATAATGCCAGCTCTTTTATTGATTTGATCAGTCAAACTCCCATTGCTGACATGTCATCTTTTCAATGGCTAGTCATACATTTTGAAATTCCAAATGAGCTCTACAAAGAGAAGGCCCGGTCCAATTTTATTTGTTCATGTACTAATTATTATTATTATTTTTTTTTGACAGAACATGTAAATCTTTCTTGATTCCAAGAACTGTAAAGCCCAAACAAACCCCACTTTTTTTCATTGTTTAAAATCACTTTTTTATACCATCAGCAATCATGTTTCTTACTAATTGGTAAACCATTTTCTAAAGAGTGACAAAAAAAAGTAGAGAGAGAGAAACTAGAGGAAATTGACAGGAAGGTGAGTTGTTTTGTTGTGCTTAATTTTTCTCTTTCAATTGGAAAAACCCATTAAACATAAATTAATCTGGGTCAGAAAAAAGTCTCCTTTCTTCTTCTTCCTTAATTTTGACAGTTCTATGTTTTCTTGAGGTATTAAAACTTGTCCTTCTGTAGATCTTTTTGTTCATCATTTGCCAATCATTGATTCTTGTACTGAGGTTTTTTCTATTTTTGTTCTTGTGGGAAATTTATCTTAGGGGTCATCAGTGGTTTATTTTTTCAATTTCAGGCCAGTCTTCTTTTCTGGTTTTGTACTTAATGGTCCGGCAAAAAACTAGTTTTTCCGTTTTTTACTCTTTTTTGTGAGTGTGTGTGTGTTTTTTTTATTTGTTAGATCTTGATGGATTTTAGGATTCAATGTATGATGTTATTTTTAATGTGACTTTTAAATGATTGAGAGTTTGTGAATTTTAAGAAAGAAAATGGCTGGTGTGGAGCAAGCTTTAGTGGGTGCAGTTGAATCTAAGCGAATTAATTATATTTGGTTTATATTTGTTACCTCTTGTTGATTTAAGACACAGTTGATTAAAGGATGGCGTTGTAACAACTTTTGGGGTAATTTGTGGTATCTTTTATGTATTTTCTTGAAGTAGACTAGTCTCCTTTGAATCTAATGGCTCTGTTTGTAAAGAAAAAGTTATAGATAACTTACCATCGTTGAGCTTCCACTAATAACAAAAGAGAATCTACTGATTGATGTGATTAACATATATCTCGACTGTTGTTGTTGTTGGATCATTCCGTTTATTATTTATGTTTTTCTTAGTCTGATGTCTTATGTTTCAATTTTTTCCAGCAAGACTTTGATTTCGTAAGTTATCTGATTTCAGGTTGATAGAAACTGTTCAAGGCTGAAAATTCTCATGGGTGGGTTTGATGACCATGTTGCTATTATGGGAGATTGGATGCCTCCCAGTCCTAGTCCAAGGGCATTCTTCTCATCAATGATTGGCGATGAAGTCATGACAAGATCAGGTACTGAATTGCATAATGAAAATAGAAGCAGGTCTCTTTTTCCGGGGCCTGAGAGGCAGATTGAATCAAGAAATGTTGATCAAAAGGATGAGACACGATCCAATGTAGTTGATGATGAAACAATCAAGTCAAATGTCCCATCAGAGCAGAAAATGAGTTCAAGTGGTGGTCTTCTGGAGAGGATGGCGGCTAGATCCGGTTTCAATGCCCCGAGGTTGAATACAGAAAGTATCCGGCCATCTGACCTTTCTCAGAACCCTGATGTTCGGTCTCCTTATCTGACAATTCCTCCTGGTCTCAGCCCAACAAGTCTTCTAGAATCTCCTGTCTTCCTCTCTAATAATTCACTGGTAAGCTTAGAAATTATAAACCTTCTGGTTAACTCTCGAGAGTATTTGTTGGGATCATTATTATTGCATGCATTCAGTTGCAAGATAGAGGGCTGCTGGATGGTAATAAGAAAGAAACAAAATTTAAAATCATATTGATTGTACCGAGTATTGTCCGATATTGTGTACCGAGAATGCTCTATGTGTTAGGACTGTGCAGGACAAAAAGTGGAACGAATAGAAGACATTTCCCTTTTGTTGTATTTTTTCAACACAGGGAAGTGGGGTGGGGGATAATTGTGTATATTGCTTAAATAACTCGACATTTTTTTCTCAGAAGTGTTCTGAACACGAGAGTAATATGAAAGTCTAAAACTTCCAATGAAAATCATTTTCTACTGTATGGAAAGTGTAAAAAAAGAGTGGGCCAAAAACAGCTTAGACGTTACTAAGCCCATGTTCAAACATGCTCACCTCCACATTGTCTGTTTCCACTTTGATAAGTAGTAAGGTTGTTTTTCATGCTGCTGATATTACTTCCTTCCAGCGTGTAGTCCACTTTGGCATTTCAGCAATTAGTTATTTACTCGGCCTTAAATTGTCAATGAATAGATCGTTTTTCTGCAGGTCCAGCCATCTCCAACAACTGGGAAATTTTCATTTCTCCCGAACAACATAGGAAACTCAATGTTGACGACAGGCAATCCCGATAAGGGCAAGGAGAATACCTCTGAAGATGTCATTGCCTCGTCATTTGCATTTCAGCCTGTCATGGAATATGGTTCCTCTTTTAGTTTTTGTGCATCGAGCAAAGTAATTATAGACTCTTTCTCTATCTCCTTCCCTCCCCCTAAACCTATGTACAGGATTTGACAGTATAGTAAATAAGCTCATATCTTCTTTTTCTTCTTTAATGCTCTCCAGCGCCATCCAATCATTCTTATTAAATGTACCATTAGGGCATGGCATTTTTTTTTTTTTATAGATATTTTCTTGTTCGGTTTGCAAAATTACAGTTAGTTCATTTCTATTGCTTTTTTGTACCAGGTAAATCCTTCGAGTCTTTCCCAATATTCAGAGAACTCACTTCTGCCTCAGAGTGTAGAACCCTCAAAAGTTCACTCTCAAAACAGTACACTTTTTCAGCAGGTTAATCTCTCTAATTCATCTGCCAAGAACACCCACGACGTGTCGCCCGAGCCAGCGTCTTTCGGTACAATTGGCGCTATGGAGCATTCTCCACCGTTTGATGAGCCACAAGAGGATGATGCTGATCAAAGAAGCAACGGTGATCCCAATGTTGGCAGTGGTCCAGCTGAGGATGGTTATAATTGGAGAAAATATGGGCAGAAACAAGTAAAAGGAAGTGAATATCCTCGGAGTTATTACAAATGCACACATCCAAATTGTCCCGTCAAGAAGAAAGTGGAACGCTCTCACGAGGGTCACATTACTGAGATAATCTACAAGGGAGCCCATAATCACCCAAAACCTCCACCGAATCGCAGATCAGCTGTTGGATCCTTGAATGCACTTGGCGACATTCAGCATGACACAACTGAGCAACCAGGTACTGGTGTTAACGGTGATCCCGTCTGGTCAAACGTGCAAAAAGGAACCCCTGATTGGAGGTTTGAAAATCCGGATTCAACATCAGCAGTAGCTTTGGGCCAAGAATATGGCAACGGAACTACCTCTTTGCAGGCACAAATAGGTACTCAGTTTGAGTCCGGTGATGGTGTACAAGCGTCTTCTGCTTTCTCAAATGATGAAGAGGAAGATGATCGAGTAACACATGGCAGTGTATCATTAGGTTATGAAGGTGAAGGAGATGAATCAGAGTCAAAAAGAAGGTTTATATTTATCTGTTTAAATAATTTATTAGAAATCAATATGAATATAGCTTGATTACATTTTGACTCTCTGTGATAGGAAAATCGAAACTTACCCTTCAGATATGAGTGGAGCTACTAGGGCCATCCGGGAGCCTAGAGTTGTAGTTCAAACAACCAGTGAGGTTGACATCCTTGATGATGGGTATCGTTGGCGCAAATATGGGCAGAAGGTTGTTAAAGGAAATCCAAATCCAAGGTTAATGTCTTGTAATTTTTAAACTTGAACATAAGCGATATCACTATGAAGTTATTATGAAACTGGATTTATTGGGTATTCTTGATGCAGGAGTTACTACAAGTGCACAAGTGCAGGTTGCACTGTCAGGAAGCACGTCGAGAGGGCTTCGCATGACCTGAAATCGGTGATAACAACGTATGAGGGAAAACACAACCATGATGTTCCTGCAGCTCGAAACAGCAGTCACGTTAATTCTGGGGCTTCAAACACACTTCCGACCCAAGCTCCGACTGCTGCTCAGAGTCAAATACACAGGCCAGAGCCAGCTCGACTTCATAACAGCCTGGGACAGTTTGAAAGACCTTCCCTTGGCTCATTTGGCCTGCATGGGAGGCCACAGCTTGGATCTAATCCTAACTTTGGTTTTGGAATGAATCAGCCCGGGCTAGCCAATCTGGCAATGGCTGGATACGGGCCCAACCAAGGCAGGTTACCGGTACTTCCAATTCATTCGTATATGGGACATTCGCGCCCTATGAGTGATGCGGGTTTCATGCTGCTAAAAGGAGAACCGAAAGTGGAGCCCGAGCCAGATTCTGGTTTGAATGTCTCCAGTGGCTCGTCAGTGTATCATCAGATTATGAATCGATTGCCGCTCAGACCACCAATGTAAATTTTTGTCCTCTTAAGAAAGTATTTGTACTTGTCTACTCTAAAAAAGTAGAGATAATAACTTATATTTAAATGGGGTTTTTTCTTGGAATTGCTTCTTACTCTTCGTTCGTTTATTATTTTTTTTCTTTATGAACTATCACAGATATCATTTGATTTCATGTTCACCATACTCATGAGGACTATTTTACCAAAGAATAAATGAACTTGCCTTTGCCTTTGTCCTAAGAAGCAAGTTTCATCATTTTCCTTTTCATTAGAACAATGCCAAGAAAATTGACAGCTTTCTGGGATACGATTGAAGATTTTGCAGATGAACATGGATTGCATTGACAGAATCTTATATTAACTCAAGTAAAGTTATTATTGAATACTTGAAGTAGCAATTATTTTGGCATTTCCACTAAAATTGTTTTCACTTTACCCTAAATAATGCATTTGATTGACTTCCAAGCAACTGAGTAAATTCCTTGTACAGTTGTGCAAGACTGTTGTACTAAGTACAATTATATGATTTTATCCACTTTGGAACTCAAAAACTTGTGGTGTGAGCATAATTTCTGTCACGTCGTTAATGGCCATTAACAATAAGCTTCTAATTATCATCTTCTTGGTCGATTGATAGTGTGTTGTGAGCATGATTTCTGTCAAGTCATTAATGGTCCTTCAAGATAAGCTCATCATCATTATCTTTGCTCGGTTGATGCTGACGCTCTGTGATTTAATTCATCCCTGTAAAAACCCGAGAAATTAATCATGAAGATTTCCAAAACATACACCTTAAATCACGAAACCAGCAGCCATAGCCACCTTAATAATTGGATTTTTTTTTTTAGCATTTTTGTTTAGGGAAAATTACACTATTGTATGAACTTTTTATTATAATTGCACAACCAGTCTCCACAATGACAGAGTCAAAATCTTGCCTACCATCATATATTAAACTTTATTATGAAGCCAGTTTTATTTTTCCAACTACGACAAGTGCTAAAAAATTTGAAGTGTGGTATGATTTCATGAGGGTCACATGATGATATAAATCATATAATGAAAATTTTGACGGTTTGTCTTTGGAGACTGGTTTATATCTTAGAATACAATAGGACTAAAAAATCACGTTACCTGAATCTTTACTTGTTTCACTTCCCGGCTTATCATCGATGCACTGGGATATTATATAAATATTAATGATCTTATAACCACATCAGTCAACTTTTATACTATAACCACAAACCAAAATGATAAAAACCTGAGAGAATTCCAGATTGAATTGTAATAAAGAATAGCAGCAACTCTTCGTTTTCTCCCTCTTTGAGCATCTATGCCACGTTTAACCACAGGCAATTGCTTGATCCCCTTAGCCTCCATTAGTTGCTTCGCAGTTGCCAGATCAGTATCAGGATAACAAATCAAAAGCCCATGCTCTCGTGGACGATAACTTACACTTCGCGTGCATATAGAAGATACGGGACATGTACTTAACTGAAAAAGAATTCATAATCACCGAATTGGCACCGCTAAAACTGGTTAGCAATAAGCAAATTAATTTATTTCTACTCATCATACAACCAAACACATACACAAACACGAAAATGATAAAAAGTTCATTATCTCTTACATCTGGATTTGGTGTGTCACAGGTAGAAGAATAACCCATCTTCTTGTATCGATACCGTTTGATATCACCATAAGTTAAAATTCCTTCCAAATAATCTTCTCCATCAACAACTAGAACACAATTCGGTTGACCATCGTGCATGCATTTCAGAGCATCTTTTAGAGTTTGTGCCAGAGACACCTTCAAATAGTTGCTTGACATAGACTGAGAAACCTGGTATAGCAGGAAATACTATTTATTTTGTCTCAGAAAATAGAACCGCCAAATAATAAATAATCAGCTCTAAACCTGGAAGGTAAAAGCAAAACCTTTAGATCTTCCAGAACAACATCTACATCCATTGGTTCGTAGTCACTGGAATTTCCAATAACCGAGGGTTCTAAATCATTCCCTTCATCAGGCTTTCTCCATAAATCATCTTCAATTTTGTTTCCAATGGGCAAAAGAATGGAATAACCTCTTAACAAATCCTTCGCATCTGATGCACCCGTTTCCTGAGCTTGAGTTGCCACTGAAGGCACCCATAGAGCCAATCCAACAGCTCCCTGTTGCAAAAATGCATAAAAATCAAGCAAAATCATCGTCCAAATATACATTTTAATAAAACCCTAACAATGTGTTGCTACAAAAAGTAGAAGAATATGATAATGAAGCATCAATTCATGTGTTTGATAATCAACTATCAGGGCCACTAGCCAGTGATTGTAAGTAGTTCAGTTATTGGATCGGGAAATTTAGCAAGGGATTCAAGATACCAATATAGACACGACGGAAATTATTCAATACAACGGCATAAACTTCTACTTGACCTCTTGGATCAATTGATTTGACATTTGACCTCATACCTAAGATTTCAGGAGTGTACATTTCTTATCCTTTTTGAAGTAATATGTGATCTAGTATATTCAAGCAAATAGCAGATGACACAAATGAATAAAAAAAATGACCTTCCATGCATATATGAACACGACAAATCATCTAATTGGTGCATGTTCGCCACCAAAGAAAATTAGAAGCGAAATCAAGGCTAGAATCCTAAATTAGACAATTCTGCTAAAATGAGCATCAGTTAGTAAAATTGGAAAGAAAAAAACCCAGAAGAATTTAAAAATTCAAGATGATAAATGAAAATATCAGAATTGCATACTGCTGCGTTGGAAATGACCGTTTACCAGGAAAGTTTTGCATAAAGAAGGACTAGTTTAATCTTTCAAAAATATTCTATGAACTACAGATGCTCACTGTGTATTCAATCAAAGCTAGGGTGCATATCAATTTGATTTGACTGCATTAGAATCGAGCATTTTTTTTGCACAAATAAATACAAAATTGAGTTCTGGGAACAAGTCTACCGTGAGAGGAAGCAATATCCTGTAGTCTTTAGTTAGCTCAAAGAGAAGGAGAACTGACGTCAAAGGTACTGAACAAACAGAAGCTAATTTGCAGCCATCCCAACCTGCAATATGATTCAAAAGTTGCAGAATGTTAATATGCTGATGTGAGGAGAGGGAAAGAAAAGGGCAGCTTTTAGAAGCTAAAGAGACTATAGTTGGAAGATATTACCAGTGCATAAGCCTGAGGCTGGGCAATAGAAGCATCTCCAGGAATGGCCGAATTGATCAGCCCTCCAGCACAACCCCCAAATACAGCGCCAACAGCAGCTCCAATCATCAAACTCGGAGCATAAAGGCCACCGACAAGTCCTGTCCCCTTGCAAAGAGCAGAGGCCACAACTTTTGCAGAAGATAATTGAGCTAGAAGCCAGATTCCTGGAGCTGAGGCAGTCTTTCCAGTATGTAAAATTTCATTAACATTAGTGAAACCCCAATATAGTATTCCCGGATACTTGAGAGCTATTAGCCCGGCTCCTAAACTGCCCAAAGCAGGGCAAACAACATCTGGAAGCCCAAAAATTTCCTTTATCAACTGAAATGCCTCGGTAAACCAATCTACCAAGCGAGTGAAAGCCACGCTTACCACTCCACATAACATCCACAATATAAGGTATAAAGGTAGCTCTGTACAAAGCATAATTCAAAAAATTATTATTGATGACCAATTTCTTTCCATAGATGCAGAAAAGGTTCAGAATATAGCAATTAAACATAAGCTGCAGTGCATCTATTTTCTACCGTACAACAATAAACACAGAATGGCTTTATTTAATGTCAAGCTAAGGAAAGAAGAAAGAAGCGCGTGAGAGTGCAAACCCGCAGCATTGGAAGAAATCATAACAATACTTGTGTTTAGAAGTAAGAGAACAGCCAATCAAGACTGAATGCTGCAGATATGTTTCAATTCCATAAAACAAACAGGAATTGGATAAAATACCAGCAGCAGATTTCAAGTCATACGTGGGCACTGTGAAAGCCTGTTTCTCTCCAAGTACGGCATTCGATACAGTAGATGAAATAACAGAAGCCAAAATTATCATTGCTGTTGTAAATGGAGGAGAGTTTTCAGCATGGAGAGGCCTCAGCACGGTTTCAATAGCAAAGAAACAACCAGCAACTGCTGCATTGAAACCTAGAAAAAAAAAGACAAGTTCAATAAATTAAGGCTCGAGTTAATATCTTCATCTACACATATATTTCAAGAATTCCAGTTGTAATATTTAATTATAAGCACAATACAGCCAGCGTGCACATGGGGGAGATAGAGAGATATGCTCGAAGAAATATAACATTTCTGGGAGGGTAAATTCATTAGCCTAGAAATTGTGTAAGGATTGCATTTCCAGTCAAAGTACAGAAATTAATTCACTGTATATTACTTGTCAAATAACTGCGTGTTCCCATTAAGTATGTAATGCAGAAACTGAATTTCAAAGAATGACATTATTCTGCAGCATTTTGAGGAAAAAGAATTCAAGAAGAGTAGAGAAAAAAATCAAGAGCTCATGGAAATGCCATAAATTTTTCACCCCGACGCCAAAGAAACAAACACTAAGATAGAAGGAATGAAAAATAGATAGATACTTCATGGTCCGCAAAACCTGCTGAGATACCACAAAAAGAAATTTTCTACAGAAGTTAACATAAAAAATATACTATATAAATGGGACACTATCTAATGGTGCAAATAAAGAAAAGTAACAGGGAATACCTGCAGAAATTCCAGCAGCTGCACCAGAAGCAATAAGTGCAATTCTCCTTTCCCTATTGTTCTCCATTATCATGGAGAATCCATGGGCACATGATTTTCCAATATCTACGCTAGGGCCTTCGGGACCCAAAGAACAACCAGTACCCAATGTTACAGCAGCCTGAATAGCCTTTACCACTGGGAGGATTCCAGCAAGCACATCAAAGCCTTGCCCTTGAGAAGAAGTGGACGGATTGATTTGATTCAATATTTCAAGTAGGCCATGCAAAACTCCAACA